CCTGATCAATGAAAGTACCTGAAAAGTTCCACTCTGACCTCTTGCACTATCAATAATATGGATATCAATTCAACATATATTTTGAACTACATGTATTATTATTGCTGTTATTAATATGTTCTAACATTTAGTATTGGTTTTGATATGCGATGATGTTTCTCCCTCCTTGTGCTTTGTATTTTTCCTTTACTATTATGCTTCATTTAGGGATTATTTTCTTTCTGTCTGGATAATTATCTTTGGCATTTTATTTAGAAAAAGTGTGCTGACCTCAGCTTCTCTGAACTTCTTGTTTGACCAAAAAGACCTTTATTTAGCCTTCCTTTTTGAAGGATATCATTTTATAAATACAGATTCAGCCATTTTGTTTCAGCACTGTAAGTGTTCTCTGTCTCCCATAGTGTTGTTTCAAAGTCAGCTTCTAATCATATTATTAATCATTTGAAACTAATGTGTATTTAATTTGCATGCTTTCAAGATTTTCATTTGGCTTTAGTTTTTAGCAGTTTTATATAATAGTTATTATTATTTTGTTTATAGCTGGGCTGTGATTCATAGAGCTTTTTGAATGGCTGGCTCCAAAGACCTGATGCTTTTCATTAGTTGGGAAATTCTTAGCCAACAGTTCTTCTCATACTTCTATCTTTTTTCCTCTGTCACTTCTCCTTTTTGGAATACAGTTACACATACATGAGCCTTTTTTTCAATTATGTTTTATCTACATAGCTCTTATTTTATTTTTCATTTAATTTACTTACTTGCTTCAAAATATATATGTTGTATGTGTTTAAATATGTGAATCTACTGGCAAATTTCTTCTACTTTGGTTAATCATTAATCTGTTAAATTCATCTATATTTGAATTTCAGTATTTTGTAAGATCCCTAATTTCTATTTGATTTTTAAATTAAATTCCAATTCTCTGATAAAACATTCCATTTTTGTATTTATTTTTAGAACATATTAAGTGTATTCTTGATACCTCAGATATTTTGATTTTCTGTTGCTCTACTCTTTTTTCTCATACATTTCTCTGTCATTTGGTTCTGTTCCCTGGCATGTCTGATAAATTTTGACTGATTCCTGGTTGTATATGAAAAATTGCTAGCATTCTCAATGATATCTTTTTTCTTTGGGGACTATGAAAGTACATGCAGATTACCTTGCTTCAGCAGCAGTTATTCTGTTTTTCGTTTGCTTCTTATTCTTTAGTTGTTGCTTTTTCAGGGGTCTCAACTAAAGGACTGAGATTTTTGTAAGTCCTTTTTTTTTTCTCTCTCTCTTTTCTTTTTTTTTTTTTTATTTGTAGAAATGGAGTTTCATTATGTTGCTCAGGTTGGTTTTGAACTGGGTTCAAGCGAACCTTTTGCTTCAGCCTCTGAAGAGCTGGGATTCCAAGAGTGAGCCACTGCACCCTAAGTCCCTTTTTCTGTAATAATCCTACATTCTAATTTTCATCTTCCCAAAACCAAAATACTGACAAAATATCTGCCTAAACTTTTGGTATCTCAGCAGTTGATTTCTGCTTGGATTCTCAGAAATGTGTTCTTCAAATGCAAATGTTGGCATTCAGCTAGTGCCTTAAAGGGGAAATTTTCCGCAGAATGTTATGCCCATTTCTTGAAAGTTCCCTTTTACTTTGGAGATCTTGATCCCTCAGATTCTTACTGCTTTGATTGCCACGAATGCCAATAATTGTTTTCTTAGCCTACTCAAATAGTCATAAAGTCTAGAGACTCTATTTTTGCAATCTATGCATTATGCTTTTATTTTTTTACTTATTAGACATTTTTTCCTATTATTCAGCTGTACACTCTTCCACAATTTGTTTAAAAAAAAATTAACAATTTTTCAAGATAAGGCTATCAGATGGAGTTTATGTAAGATAACATTAAGAGTTGGACAAACGATCTTATTTTCTTTTCACTCATTAATTTATCTTGTCCATGACAAATACATTTAAGCTATAGATTGGCTCTATCACTTATTTTCTTTAATTTTTGTAGTATATTTTCTTTCTCTTTTCTAGTTTTATATTTAGAGAGCCTTGGGACATAAAGATCTCTAAAAAGAACACCTCTGGAAATACGATTAAAAGGTTTTCCCTTTGTTTTATACCATGTGTCACTCCTGATATGACATCATGTTCGCTCTACTTAGACCTTGTGCTTTGCATTTCTTGGGGTGAGATAATCCACAGCCTAAATGCATATGGCTATAAAAAGTATTATGTGAATTGTCAAAGGAGGTATGCATTTTTTCATGATTCTGAATTAATCACCATATACGTTTATGAAAAGCTATGGGAATTACAGTTACCCTAATGCTTCTGAATCGCATATGTTCTCTATTTCCATTTTGATTACTATTGTCTTTATTGAGTATGAGTATTTTATGTGTGAGGTTTAGTAACATAGCTGTTTGGGCTCTGTTTCTCTCTTTTGCCATGAACATTGCAAAGCAGCTGTTGCAAGCATATATTTAGAGCCAAAGGGTACTATCGCTTACATATGGGAGGAGTGAGGGGAGGATAATTGAATTACAAAATGCTTGTGATCAAATATGCTCTGTGAAACTATGGAAACAGGAAAACAATGCCAGAATGGTGTCCACAGTGAAGAGAACAAAGCCTGACTCTAAACAGAGGTTGCTAAACAAATCAGTCCCTATGCAATTAGATGGAAAAGCACTTAGCAACAATATAAAAATAACAGAGTAGCTGGAAATCTGCACAATAGAAGATGACTCAGACTCTCTAAAGTTTGCATACTTTAGAACATTACTTTCAATTCCACATAGAGTTAGTTCACATGAGACATGATATGTAAGCACAGGTAATGATAAAAAAAGAAATAATTTCTGGAATTACAAACATAAAGTCAATACTAATTTGCCTTTTATTAAAGAAACTCAAACCCTTCACAATTAATTCCTACCAAAGTCATACAGATTTTATAGTTCAGTTTTTTTTGTAGGTATAGAATTGATATAGTAAGATTTCCGAACTTTGCCAAGCATTGCTGATTCTCTTATTCTTTTTAAACCTTCATATTTTAGGTAACAGTCCTCCCTGGGATCTGAAACAACATGATTAAGTATAAACATATATGTCATTACCTCCCCATAAGAGACCATTCTGTACATTTCTCTTGGTATAACACTGTTGCTTCCATTTTATAGGCTCACACCTATGAGTTTTTAGTCTGCCAAACCCTCCTGGTGTGTGTGTGTGTGTGTGTGTGTGTGTGTGTGTGTGTGTGTTTGTACGTGCACACACATGCATGTCTGTGTGAGAGAGAAAGAGAAGAAGGAAGCAGGGGAGAGAGCAAAGCAAACTACACAATTTGCAAAGACCAGTGCGAAATAAAAATGCAGGACCCTTTGTTAAAAAGGTGTTAAGAATTTTAAGACTGTGACAAGAGAACATTAAACCAAGTATTAGATCCTTCTGAGCGCAAAGACCAATGTGACTGTGCAAGTTTCATGCCCATGAAACTGACCTTGTGGGAGAGAGAGGAAGAAAAAGCAGAGAGAACAAAGTATATCTTTTGTAACAGGTACTGTCATACTCTAAGGAGGATGTATCTTAACAATTTGAAGATTTGGTTAATCTGGCCACTTTGAAGATTTAGATGTGCAAGTTTGGGATCAGAGGTTAAAGTGGAATAAATTATTCTGCATAAAATTCGAAGTTAATGAATTGTGAGTAAGAGTCACAGAGAGATCGAGAGAAACCACTAAGGCTGGGTGCTTCATAAGGGAATGTGTTTGTGAGCTCTGAGTTACACTAAAGAAAAAATACAGAAGTATATCAAGCAAATAGAAGTAACATAAAATCACAGATTGCAATCTCCACATCAGTCAAGTAATATTCAATTCAAAATTTATGAAACCTAAAATTTAGGCCATTTTTAAACACTAAAAAAGGCATAATTTACACTAAGGACATAAAGATATAATAATTATGTATACATAACAGTTATTTGTCTCTTTATCTCATCTATCTCTCTAATCTATCTATCATCTGTCATCGATCTATGCCAAGTAGCAACACATCCACTTCTATAAAATGGAAAGTACAGAGAATAAAGAAGACAGACAGAGACAAAGAAACACAAGGGAGTGCAATAATCACTGAAAGTCAATTTTTTTTTGATACATGGTAAGACCTTTCAATATAGAAATTAAAGTTCTATGTTAGTTTTGTACATTTTCTTTGGGTTAAAGGAAACTTTTATTCATTGCTCTCTGTACAAGTCACATCAATAGGAAAAGAAAATAAAGTTATAGAACAAAAAAAGCACCTTTTCAATACTCTCTAAACCCTTTCAATGCACTGTCTGCTGCGGTTTGAATGTTTTCCCCACTGCAACAGTGTTGGGAGGTGGAGCCTCATGAGAGGTGTTAGATCATGTGGTCTCTGATCTTATAAATGAACTCATGCCCCTGTAAAAAGCGCTTGCAGGAGTGGATTTGCTCTCTCTTGTTCTTCTGCCATGTGAGGACACAAAGTTCCTCCCTTCCACAGAATGCAGGTTTCAAGGCACCACCTTCGAAGTGGAGATCAGGCCCTCACCAGACACCAAAATCTGCTGGTGGTTTGATCTTGCCTTCCCAGCTCCAGAACTGTTAGAAATAAGTTTTTATTCTGTATAATTAATCAGTCTGTGGTAAATTAGTCTGCTATAGCACCACAAATAGACTAAAACAGTGTCTTTCCATAATCTTGGACTTACTGTTTCTCACCTGTCTTTCCCTACGAACTACATGAACTTCCTGCCGTATCCCCAGCACTTACCACAGCATCTGGCATACGATATCTGCTGAATAAACATATGTTGAGAGAGTGAGCAACTGAAGCAATGAATCGTGTCTGCAACTCAGTTTTAGTTTCTATCCAAACTAAAATGTTTTTTGATTTGTTATTTCTTCAATTCTTGTTTATTTTGAATACTTTTTTTTCTTTCTCAGACTTCTTTATTTAAAAAATGTCAACGGGAACCATTCGGAATGCATCTTCTCCCTCTTACTCCCCAGGAGGAAGAGGAGAACCATTATCAATGGCAAAACGCAGTCTCACCAAAGCAAAACCAAGCGCTAGCTTTAAGTTCGGAGAGAGCGCTGCCCCTCCTCCTCCCGGTTTCTGGTGCTCTCCAGGTTCAGGGAGACTTTTCTAGTAATAAATTAAAGAAATGCTCCCTGAAAGTATAGCCTTTCTGAGACTTCTTTAATCAGATAGTTTATCTCCTTGTTCTACTACCAAATTCTGTTCCATTTCTCATACCTTGAAACGTTGTTTTATTTTTACTTTATAGTATAATACCCTGATTACATTTCATCCTCTAAAGCTCTAATTACTTTTTTATTCTTATATAATTTAAATTCATAAAGTATAATTTGTTTGGCTTACTTATCTGCTTGATTCTATCTAGTTGCTGTGTATGTGTAGTTTATCTCCTATATATTCTATGACAGTTTTATTAAAAGTTTCTTTATATTATTTCATTAGCTGTGTATCTATGGAAGCACATATCCTGGTAATTTTATCTTGTTAATTTTCTTTAAAACATAAAATATGCATTACACACTGATTTATTTAAAAGAAAAATATTAAGATCAGTTTGACAATTTTCGGAAGATCATTTTGGCACTTGAATTTTTATTATTACTTTTAAAAAATTTAGTAATAATTTATTACGAAGCACTTTTCTATATGCCAGAATGATGCTGCAATAGCAAATAAAATGTTTGGATTCTACCAGAGAATATATATCATACATTACATGGAAATCAGTTCCCACTGTATCAGGTCCATCCAGGGTGAGCCTTGGCAAGAATTAGTAATGGCAGAATGTTCAGCAATTATAAATTAAAAGGTGTTGTGTTTGAGGGCAAAGACTTAAGCATTTAGCTTTAGTAAAGCTGAATTCCCAGATTAGGACACAGAAAAATCTGATTTTCTGAGTTTGGACTGCTGAAGAGATTTGTCCTACTTCTTTCTGGTCACACTGATTTGCTCACTTTATTTTGTGACTTACAGGCTTTACTTGTTTTCTTTTATATTGCTTTCTTCATAACAACGATACAGAGTAAGTGGGATACATTCCATGTTTGTTATTTTCAAAATCTCGGTGGCTTAGTTGTGATTGATGAATAAGATACACAAAGTTACAACAAAGCATTGAATAATATGTAGTTGAAACCCAGCAGGCTTTATAAATAGGCACATGTAAGTCATTTCAGCAATTTTCCCTCTTGTTCATGCCAATTAGTTCCCACATAAATATCTACATGTTCGAAGCTATTTTAAATTGATTCAGCATTTTCTCTCAAAATTGCAGATATCAAATACCTGGCATTTAAATGCCACTTTAGCCTGAGACTAGACATGAGCTGCAATGTAACTGCAAACACATTTTGAATGACTGGTTTTGATTTTATCTACCTTCATAGTTTAGTTTTATAACTGCATGAAGACACAGAATACTTATCAAAATAAGGATTATTTTTTTCTTTTAACCAAAATGTGCACAATTAGGTGAGTTCTGTTCTGGGTGCACTAGCTGTGCTTCTGCTTTGCAAGTGTCTTTGTGGGTTTTTTTTTAAGAATACTAATAATTTTGGACCTGTGCTACTATTACAGCCTGCTGAAGAGGAATATTGGACATGATGTTCTAAAATCACTTTCTGGTCATTAGGTTACTGGGATTTTATCACTCAGTGAGAGCCTTTTCTTAACAAGGAGAAAGAACTATGTCCAGAGTTTGTAGTGTCTTCCAGGCATGCACTGAGACAATTTTCAATAACTAATTATAGCTTGAGGGAGCAGGAAAGGCTACCGAAAAAAAAAATCCATCAGAGGAGTTAATTTGTAGAAAGAAGGGGGAGTGCAGTTTCAAAGCAATTTTGTAAATTCCAAGTGTAACTACTTGTATTCTTCAAAACAATTTCCATCATACTGACTTTAATCATAGGTCACTGGTTACAGAAGAGATAAAATATTCATTTCTAACTGCGGTGCCTTTGTTTGTATAAGGTGTACCCAGGAAATGGTCAACTAGATTTTAGAAATTTATTGGGGGAATATTTGAAATACTAAGGGCTATAGTCAACACATATTATAGCTTAAAACTCACTCCCTAGGTAGGCTTCAGTATTCTCACATTAGTAGTCTTTTAATAATGATTCTGAAATTTTGGAAAAAAATAAACTAGATAGCCCCCACTCTATTTTTTAAAGTTTCTTGAAATTATAAAATTTTGGTACATATGTTTCTAGTAGTAAAATACATTTTATAGATTCCTTTAACTTACAAATCTTAGTGATACCAAAAAATTTAGAAATATAGAGTAGACTTAATCTTGTCAAATGATGACTGAGGAATGGATTGAAAACAAGTGTTTACCCAAATCCTTTGGCTATATTTAAGTTACTTTTAGTAATAAAGATGTAATGAAAATCAAGGAACACATATATCATTCCAAAGCTGAAGGAAGCCAAAATCTTATCCCGAAATTAGATAATGGTTGTCAGCAAAATTAGCCACAATGATCTCATCTAATAACTTACCTGATTTACATTCAAAGCCTGATTAATATCAGGAAATCAGTCACCTATCACAAAGAGCACTTCATGAGTTTTCTTTAATAGCTTGGTCTTTCTTTTTCAGCCCTGACTGCCAGAGTGATATTTTATGATTATATGAAAGAAATACTTTAAAAATAAGAAAAAAATAGGATAATATTAAGACTTATGGAATGTTAATAGAAAGAAGGTTGACATCACAACAAAATAAAGCAACATAAAAAGAGGAACAAATTTGGGGCAGTGAAGAATTAGAATTTTATGTGGTTGAAGAAGCACGAGCTATAGAAAAACGTATTGTAGAGTAAGATTGAAAAACAAAAGGGCTCAAAAACACTGGTGAAGACTTGAAGAGGAACCATCAAGAGCTTTTAAGAGTGAATAAAAAGATAAAATCAATATTTAAAAACAGTTTGTGTGATAAACAGATGGAAAGTTTAAACCTGGAAAATTAAATGGCCCTTTAAGAATTCAAAGCAAATAGTGGGGCGGGGGGGCTTCTATCCAGAGTGATGGCATAACTAATTGGAAATAAGGTACAAATAAAAAAAAAGTAAAAGTAAGAAAAGGTAAGTGTTTGATGTCTGCTGACCCAGGAATGACTGTGATATCCATAGCTTTGAAGCCTGGAGGGAGCGTGATACTGTGATAACCACAGGAAAATGTAGGAAATAGGAGGAATGGCTCAGGTTCAAGTCATGTTAAGGACAATGGGCAGTTGTAAGTCAGAGATGTGGGATTGGTTTATAGGAAATATACACAAGAGCAGAAAGGTTAAAAGGCAGATATTCTATACTTCATTCAATTGTTTATTGACTATTGATCTATTAACCAGGGATAGTCTTAATTATTAATACATGTGTTTTTCAAAACACAAATTGCAAAGTTTAGTTTTCTAAGAATTCTCAGTTCTCTTCTCTAGTAATAAAACATTTATGTAGCCAATACAGATTTATTAAAAGGACAAACATTCAAATTTTAAACTAGTCCCATTTTTCTAATTCATGTGTGAGGTTTTTGTGAAGCACTGAGTCAAAATTTTTCAAAACTAATTATTTTTTGCATAAAAATTGAAAAACTGCCTCATGGCTATTATTTTTACCTATAATTAAATCAAAGTGTTAACCAAATTTGGACTGTAGTGAAGAATTGCCAGTGAACGTTGGGTGGGATGAGAAAGGTAGCTAATTTAGTTTCAAACCACTTAGATTAAAATTAATATTGCTTCGCCAGCATAGGCCCAAACATATGAGAATTCATTTAGGAATTCAGCAAATTCCTAAATGAATTTGAAATTGCATTTAGGGATACTGCAAATAAGTATAATTTGCTCAACACTTCTGTTTACCCCTGAATTCTAATAAGACCATTATCATAATTGATCACTTAGGAAAGCATAGTGAATTTAAAAAGAAAAAAAAACCCCTTTCTGACTAGTCAGTGACTTTACAGAAAGAGTGTTAGAATGATCCTACGTGGGAGAAAGTAACCTTACATCAGTGCATGGTTCCCTTTAAGGGAGTAATCATTAATTATTTATATAAGACAAGAAGTTACTCACTTTCATAGCTTGTCAAAGTGTTGCTTGTCAGAATCATAGTGTCTTGGAATAGAGTTTCATAGCAGACAACATTCTCGCTGTTGTAAAGAGGGGTTGCGTGCTTATAGCTTGGTTTCTTTGATGCTCTTACTCATTTGTCCCTACCCTACCTGCTGGGACTCAGCTACTTCTGGCCTTTAGAACAGGTGGGGCATTATAATATAAAAACATTTCATTTCAGGAATACCGACATTGTAGGAGTTATACTTTTTTATGTCCATTGATTGATAGCCCAACTATTAAGAGGCTTCAGGCTAGAAACCTGTTACTACCCTAGGGAAATGCCCTGCTGGTGAATACTTTCCTGTTGCATTCATCTGATTTTTTTAGCCATGAAGATACTGGGCTACAGGTGATAATCCTGTAGTAATTGTGGTAGACTAACTAATGGTCCCAAAGACATCTACGGGCATACCTCATTTCATTGTACTTCACATTTTTGTGCTTTGCAGCTATTGTGATTTTTACAAACTGAAGGTTTGTGGCAACTCTGCATTGTATAAGTCGATTGATGTACTTTTTCCAACAGCAGGTGCTCACTTTGTGTCTCTGTGTCACATTTGGTAATTCTCACAATATATCAACTTTTAGAATTATTATATTTGCTATGGTGATATGTGATCAGTGATCTCTGTTGTTATCATTGAAATCATTTTGGGGAACCACAAACAGCCCTGATATAAGACAGCAGACCAATAAACAAATGGTGTATGTGTTCTGACAGTTCCCCTGACTGGTCATTTCTCCATCTCTCTCCCTTTTCTTGTGTCTCTCTATTTCCTGAGGCATAAAATTATTGAAATCAGGGCAATATATAATACTACAATGGCTTCTAAGTGTTTCAGTAAAAGAAAAAGTTTCACATCTCTCTTTTTAATCAAAAGCTAAAAATGATTAAGCTTAGTAAGGAAGGCATGTCAAAAGCTGAGATAGGCTGAAATCTAAGCCTCTTGTGCCAGTTAGCCAAGACGCGAATGCAAAGGAAAGTCCTTGAAAGAAATTCAAAGTGCTACTCCAGTGGGCACAGGAAT